CATGACTCAAGTTAAAAAATAAATGACAACATCTTGGTCCCCCGGCCTTGGGAGGATGCCAATGATCATCAACGTGTCGACTCACAGGTGTCCTCTCCCGCTGTCCCCCTGCAGTCCTGCACACCGAGTGAGACAGGCCACACTCTCATTGCAACAGCCTCGCTGGCGCCCTTTGCCTCGGTAGGACATTTCCAGCAAAAGGAGCAACAAAACACCGCGTGGCTCCGTATGAGCACAGCAACCTTGGGCACAACCTTGGGCGCACACTGAATCACCGCCCCCCCCGCCTTTAAATAGCGCCCCGGGCCGCCAGGGAGCCTCTGTTTATTTCCAGCCTCTTCTCCTCCCAGTGCAGCAGACAGCAGACCTGCTCCCCCGCCGCCGTGAACAGCCCAGCGGCCCAGACACCCGCCCGCAGCCCGGGGGGGGGGCGGTCCCGTCAGACCCCGGGCTCGACCCGACCGAGACGCACTGCCTGGGCCCCCCTCCCCGCGCCTCCCAGAGCCCCGCAGAGCTCTCCCAGCTCCGCACGCTAGAGGCCCCCAGAGGGATAAACCACTTTCCCCGGGACACCGGCTGCTGCGCTCATCGCCTGGCGTCTGCTGCCACCTAGCGACACAACGCGGGGACTGCTGCTGGGTCGCCACACGGGGCCCGTGTCGGCAGCGCCGCCTACCGAAACAACACGCGATGGGCGACGTCCCGGCTACGCCGTCTGCGAATTTCGGGGTTTTTCTTTTCCATTTCCGTGAAGCCAACGTAATACCGGCGACAAAATAAAGTTCTGTTTGCAACAAACGTGCAAATTGTATCCTTAATACCCCGCTTCCGCTCCCCCCCAAAATAAAACCACCTTAGAGCCCTGCTCAGCTGCCTCTCAGCTTCCAGTCCAGAGGTGAAACCCCCCTGAACCCCCAAAAGCACATTCTGGGGACAGGGAGGAGCCTGACTGTTACCTGGAAGAAACTCTTACCTGCGTATTGAAGAGACAGCCTGGTGCGTTACGAACAGTCATCTAAAAAAAGTGCAAGTAATAAGCTTTGGGTAATCGAATCGCTGAAGAGCCTACTGTGCCACAAGTCCATTGCATCACAACCGTATGTGAAGGGTCAAGAGTCTGCTAAGAGGGAAATCAGACCAGAAGTGAGAGCAGGAATTGGCAAAACGCAAAATGACAGCATAAGGAAAAAAATGTAGGCGAAGTCAGCGCTAGCAAATTGAGAACTGCGGGCCGCAGCATCGAGGTAATCTTTCCGAAGACGCAGTGAAGACGGATGGTCTTAACTCTAACAAGGAGCTTGCCGGTGAACTAAATCATTATCATCTTGGGTTCTGACAAGTGGAGGAGGAATCTGCGACACAGCGCAGTTCAACTCGTTTCAAGAGAACACGCCAGGCAGGGCCGGGGACGCGACATCATCGGTGGGCAGGCACCGAGGTCAGGAGCCGCGCAGCTCCGTACCGGAGGTCACTGTATTTGCAAAATATCGCTGAACCGCCAGAAAGGACCCAAAACTGCATCTTTGCGTACTTATAAAAAAAAAACAGCCAACACCAGTTTCAAAACATAATTCCCCCCAAGACTTTAAATGATTTCAGGACGGTGGCACTGACCCCTTTAGTTGTGAAATCACTTGAGAAAATCGATAACAGGCAGCACCTAGTGGATCCCACGCAGTTGGCCAACAGGGCTGAAAGAGGAGTCGAAGATGCTTCCCTGACATAACTGAAACTCAGGTGGGGAGCTGCGTCAGCATGCGTAGGCTGCAAAGGAACAAGTAATAGGCTTACTCCAAGCTGAGAGGAGAAGAAAGAAAACACAACGTTGTGCTTTTTCTGCTCCTTTCAGCGTGGAATAAACCTATTTCTTGTTCCATTACTGAAACTCTTCTGTTCACATCCAGAAGGTCCCAAGACACACGCCCAGCTTTTATTTAGATTTCTCCTCAGCCTTTAACACCATTCGGCCACATCTGTTAGTGGCGAGATTACTCTCACATTTTAATCTGGACTTTAATTCTATAGGTTTGATTTGAGACATTTCGAGCAATAAATCACAGGGAGTGAGGGCAAATGGTTTTTGCTCTGCCTATCAGAGTCGCGCTGATTTTCCTTCTTGTATCAGGGCTGTGTGCTGTCCCCCATCCTGTGCATTCTGTTCACAGACAGCTGTAGAAGCCCTGGAGAGGACAGACATACTGACGTCTGCTGATGACTCTGCCAGTCAGTCGGCTCCAAGACTTGTGAATTATGATGTTGATCGGCCCTTCCTCCAGCTCCTTCCTCCCGCTCGATGTTTCAGTTGTGATAACCGATCATAGAAAGCAACCACTAGCTGCAAAACCAACAGTCACCGAGGAGCAAGAAACTGAAATTGTCAAGTTACAAATATTTTCGTACTCTTGTTAATAACCTTTGAGGAAAACAACGCCATATGTAAGATTGCTCTTCCTGAGTACACCTTGCTCTTTTAATGTGCGTCCTACTTTATTCTATAGAAGTTTAATGGAATCTGTCCTAACATTCCCTGCGGTAGCTTGGTTTGGTACCTTTAATACAGGCAATAAAAACACACTGAGCAGGAATGTGAAGGTAATCAGCAAAATTATTGGTTCCCATGAGCTACAGTTTTCGGAAATCTGCATCAAGCAAACAGCGCAGAAGGCCAATATCATCAGTGACCACTGTCAGCGGAACAACAGCTGTTTCCCCTCCAGGGCTCCAACCCGCAGCCTTTAGAGTTCCACACCCAGAAGGATCCAAAACTACTACTCCACCACACGAACCATAACCCAATATCCAAGGGGTCACACACCACACGGAGATCTCATCGAATAGAACAGCACAATAACTTGTCTATGCCCTTTAGCACCTAGTGTGATGCAACATGTAAATGAATTCCAGTGTGCATACAGGACTCGCACCAAGGAAGAATGTGCCGCTGGAAATGATTGACTAAACTGTTCAAATGGGGACAGAGACCAGAGAAGAAACAGGTTTTCTAGTTGACTGACAGCCTCTTGCCTGTCCAAGGGAGAGCAGAGCTGTTCTCGGGAGACCCTGGGCCACAGGAAATGCAGATGGACAGGAAGGCCTCCACTTTTCAACTTGGAAACACGGCCACTAGAATATTCCCATGAGCTGCCCTTTTACAGCCCGGCTCTTCAAGCATGGCCCTGGTGTGAGCCTGTGTGTGTCTGCCCTCCATCCAGGGAGTGTGAGTGTGTGTGTCTGTGTGTCTCCTGTCCCGTCCAGGGTGTGCGAGTGTGTGTGTCTGTGTGTCTCCTGTCCCGTCCAGGGTGTGCAAGTGTGTGTGTCTCCTGTCCCGTCCAGGGTGTGCGAGTGTGTGTGTCTGTGTCTCCTGTCCCATCCAGGGTGTGTGAGTGTGTGTGTCTCCCGTAATGGACTGGCGTCCCATCCAGGGTGTGTGTGTGTCTCCCGTGATGGACTGGCGTCCCGCCCAGGGTGTGTGAGTGTGTCCTGTGATGGACTGGCGTCCTGTCCAGGGTGTGTGTGTGTGTGTGTGTGTGTGTGTGTGTGTGTGTGTGTCCTGTGATGGTCCAGGGTGTGTGTCTGGCAGGACAAAGCAGGAGAGGGTCAGAGGTCAGCGCAGCGCACGAGACAGAAGCTTCTGGGGGATCTAGCGAGAGAGAACTGAGGGGGGCGGGGAACGACACAGCCGAGCCCCAAGGTCAGAGACAGAAGAGGCTGCTGGGAAGGGAGGGAGTGACAGCACGTCGATCCAGGACGGTCCCGCTGTCCAGCAGCAGGGCCAGAAGACCACTGCGTCGGGACAGCATCGCGGGGGTCCGCGCTCCCACAATAACCCGACAGGGCAGAGGGAAAACGAAGCAGCAGGGGTGGGGCTCCGTCTGCTGACGCCCCAGCCCAGCCACTAGCACCCCGGGGGTCACCCACCGTCTGCACCCCCCCCCCCAAACCTCGCTTCTGTGGAGCGAAACGAAGAAGCATCTGAAAGGCGGGGCCCCGGAGTTTCATCCCGCTGGTTACGACAGGATATATTCCGACTTCCAGAAAAGCCTTGAGACACGTCTCTTACAAAGAAGGTTGATTCTCAAATCAAAAGCCGGAGGAATCCGAGCAAATTCCCCGCTTATGGATTAAGCCCTAATTAAACAGAAAAAAGCCCATCATCTCTGGGGGTACAGCTGTCAGTGCGCCCCAGGAATTTTACAGCAATGAGTTTAGGGCCCACTGGTCTTCCTGATCAACGGTGTCGATTTCAATATAGCCATCAAAACACTTAAATTGGAAGATGAGGCAAAATTACGGAGAGTCACAAACGGGAACAAACAGCTTCATGGCGTGAGCAGCCATTTTAAATGTCATCTGTGATTTACAAATGCAAAGTGATCCACACGGAGGGCAGGAGCAATGTGGAACAGAGGAGACTGAAAAGAGATTTGCTAAGTATAGCAGATCTGTAGGATTAGAGAGCAGGTCAATCCAGGGGACTATTTAATACCCCTTGGAGAAACATGGACACTAAGTCACAACTGGAAACTGAAAGGGAAATAATTTGAGACAGAGATCGAAAAACACCTCTTCACACGAAGAGATGAGAGAATCTGAAACAGTCCCCACTAGGCTTTGAACATTTTACAGAAACAGATGGGCAAAAGTTTAGTTTCTCTTAGTTGCTAAACCACTAAATAAACGAGACAGGTGGTGAACAGTCTCTTCTCAAAAGAATTGCTCATGTCCTCGTGTCCACACCCACCGCCGTTTTTCCACAATCTTTTTCATATTGTTCAAAAAAAGCAAAGCAGTCTCCATTTACACCTTCCAGCTGAGACAAAAGCATGTTGTCAAAATCTTGGTTTCTACCACGTTTTTCACAAAGCAAATCAGAGGACTGCATCATTTGGGAAAAATAATGGACATTGAAAGAAAACACAAAAACCAAGAAGTGCTCTAGTAGGTTGACAAAGAAATACAACACTGAAACTTCCAAAATCTGAATAAAAATGCACACAAACTAAAATCTGAAATCATTTTTATTGTGCTGTCCATTTGAAACCACACTTGGCTATAAATTAGTTCAGCAACTGTGTTTCTGAATGGCCTCAGACAACAGGCCTGTATCAAAAGAGCACCTACTGCCGTGAAAAAGCTCTGCTCCATAATTAAGAGGAAACAAAACTGCAAGTTGTAAAAAAATGAAAGATGACATGAAGCTATGAAAACAGCCGTCACCATCCTGTATGAAACGTTCAGCCTAACCCCATGATGAAGCAAAACCCTGCTCCTTCCTTGGGGCTGGGCTGTGGTGTGTTTTCAGAGTGAAGCTTGTCTGCAGATCGCACTGCAGTTCGAGCCCTGCGCATCTCTCATGGGGGGGGGAGACGCTCTTGGCTGAACAGACCTGGGGCTGAGCAGGCCTTCGGCAGGCAGGGCTTTCTGGGAGCAACAGCAGCACCTGCAGGCATGCTGGGATTGCGACGTCAGCGAGAGAGACCAGGGCGCACCCTGGACGGAGACGAGTAACGGCAAGGCAGCTGTAGGGGGGTCTCTGAAAGATGGGCGTGTGAGAGGGGCATGTCTGCAGTTCCTCTCTCCCCCCACAGCGCTCAGGGCTGCGGCCGAGACATGCACAACATGAGCTGCAAAACAGGGTGGGCATGAAGCAGGAAATAGCTGACGATACCAAACTTTATTAAAAAAAAGGTCTCTTGACGATACAGGACAATTTGCACATCAGCAAAAAGCTGAGTCTTACACAAATCCTCTTTGCAAAAGGACTGGAGGTTGATTTGACTTATCTCCGGTGTACTAGGGTCATGATGAACAGAAAGAACAAAGCAGAAGAAATATATATAGCCTGTTGTGCATATGAGGATTCTTCCAATTTGCGTTTACCGTATCGGGGAAAAAAAAACTCCCACTAGAAAACTAGGAGCTGGTAGAGTGACAAAGGGACAGACACGTGAGTTTTTCCGCAGTCGACAAAGATTTACTGGTTCTTCATGGAAGTATCATACTAACGCATGGAATGCATGATGTTTCTGAACTGGTTACTTCTTCCCTGAGCCCAACGATAAACTGAAACAAAAGAAAAAATGACATATATAGAAAGATATATGAGGAAACACATTTAATGTAGTGCTGAAGGGGCTAGCATCCATCATCAAAGCAAATCCATTAAGATCTGGAATATGATCAACTGAATTCTAAGGCTATTCAACTAGGAAAACTAAAAGAGAAGCAGAATATTATGCAGCTTAAAAAGCAATTAACGCAACCCTTTGCATCGCCAGACTCATTCCTTATGCACAGCCAGGGAGAAAACTAAACGAGACTCATCCCATTAGCATCAAGCCATTAGGCATTGGCCAAACGTAGCCACAAGATGATCATCATCTTTGATTGGCCTTAAAATCATAAAAGGTACAATACGTTGAGGTATGTTCACATGAATGAAGAGAGCTCCTGAAATAAAACACTGTATCACAATCTGTACCGGTCTATATAGGACTGAGCTTTTTTCACATGCAGCTCCTTCAGTTCATTTTTCATCGTGCAATAAATCCAAAAATAGTTACAAAACCTATTATACAGTGGATTCAAGTGGTAATGAGGCTATTTTCAGAGAAAAGGCCTTCTGGAGTTAAGTGAAATTACGTTTTTTTTAACTCCCAGGAAATCTGAATTTAATTGCTGTAATTTCACACTACACGTCCTTGTCCCCTATACCTCTAACAGAGGGAAACTTGGCCGCAAACTTCTGAAGGGAGAGACACCTACTTGTTAAAGGAGTCATCCTGTAGGTTCAGCACCAAGTTGTCCGCACTCAGGTACACCTTGTTCTGCGACGCTGCCACCTGTGCAAGGAAGAGACAACTCTGTTTCTCACAGGTGCTCCATTTTCCGGAGCTCAGAGAGCACTCGTGGGTCTCGTTGACGCACGCTGCTGCAGAACCGAAGTGTCAGGAGCAGCAGAAAGCAGGAGGTCCTGGGACCCATGTTCAGAGACAGCAGCTGCAGCAGTCGACACTGGATCCCCCTTCCTCTGGGTCAGGCACAGGCTGTTCAGCTCAATACGGTACTGTGCACCGGATCGGAGGCAGAAAAGCCATTCCCGAACGAACGAAGCAATTTAAAATGGGCCGGGGTCCCACAATAGCTCCCAGCACTGAAGAACAGAGTGGTTGCTTGCACATGACAGAGGGCCTCCGGAGAGAAACACCCCCTACCCTGTCGGGCCACAGTGCTCTTTACAAAGGACTGTGCTTCCTGGTAAACGCAGTAGGCACGGCTTTCGGTCGTCATTTCATTTTAAATGACACAATCTGTTCAAATAACGGAACTCCACCATTTTGGAAATAATCAAGAAATCTAGCTCTTTTTCCCCAGATGTGAAATGCCAGTTGTCTCTCTCTCACACACACACTTTTAATTGGAAATCTAAATAGAGCACTCCCCTATAAAATGGAAAAAAAAGTTTTAAAAGTAGTGAGCCTACACAATGACACACATAGCCCGTGGCAATGAAGCAACAGCAGCAGTGTGGAACTGAAGCAATTAATTTAAAAAGTCAATTAAATCTAATCAAATTTTTAACAGGGAGGGGGGATTCTGGATTTCCATCAAGTTCATCTTCGATATTGACTCCTAAGAGAAAGGACTGCTGCAAAGCTACAGGAAACCTTCTCCATCTTTTTCTGTCAGCAAGGACAGCTGGTGACGATGACACTAAGCGCAGGTTGACCCTCGTATACGAAGAGCAGCACACAGCTGTTCCGTGGAGCACCGTGCTTTGCACTATTAAAATGGACATACAATCACAAAATGCATGCAAATGCTTGGAAACAAATTAGCAGCGATCCAGCCTATCAGACGTGCTGCTTGCAAAAGACCTGCAATTGAATAGACTATGAAGGCTTACGCCTCAGGTTATCATAAGGGTGAGACCATCGCCCTTTGTTTCTAAGCAAATATCATCATTTTTTATTGTTCACAAAGGCAGTCTACTGTCCAGTGAGACATGGAGATCCTTTCCTGATGCCGTTTAAAAAAAAGCGTGAAGACACCCGTCAGTGTCTCAAATACTCGATCAGAGTGCGATCGTAACTTGATTTTTGCTGATAATTTACACGGCTGCAGAATTCAAGAATAAAGACCCCCTACTGCCCCCAACACCCCAGCATTCTCTCACATGCCGACTGTCTCTAAACAAGGAAGAGCCCTGCACATTGGTAGACAAAAAACAACACTGAGCCATGCTGAGCTGGTGCCCTGGCTTTTCGACAGCATAATCAGGCGTCCAGTCCGCCACACCCGGCACCCCCACTGTTTGCTCTGCAGGAGGACAGACGCCCCAGACAAGGAATGCTTCACGGGAGGCCCTCTTCCCTAATTCCTGGTCACAAATTGGGCTAATGCCTTCTTAAGTGACTCGCGGAGGTGCCGTCGAGGTTTGATGTCCACACATTGGTATTCAGTCACCCAGCTGGTTTTGCCAGTGGAGTCAGGCACTGAACGACTTCACTATCAGGTACAAAAACACCCTGCCCCGCCACCCCAGGACTCAAAACCATGGCCCACAGGCCAGGAGTCTGGCCCCACCAGCGTACCGTCTTGGCGATGTTCTGAGCGGCTCGGATCCTCCGCAACTTCAGGTAGCCGGGGTTCTTGGTCACGGCCTCTCCCAGCTGGAACAGAGCAGGCACAGGGGCGTCAGCAGGTGGAACAGAGCAGGCACAGGGGCGTCAGCAGGTGGAACAGAGCAGGCACAGGGGCGTCAGCAG